TTTCATGTGCCCTGCCTGCAATGGCAAAACTTATTTCTTATATGTACAACACAAATTCTCATATATCTTTATTAACATGATATGTACCTTACTTAAGCAATATCATGGTGGATCTATAATGTCTTTTAATTAGTAATTTTATCTTAACATTACTTATTGCTGAAATGTTTTGGTATTTATTAATAAATTATGTTACAGTGACTGACAGTAAACAAAAGTTACACAATTAAACTATTTTTGTGATGAAGAACTTTTGACTGGGGTTGTTAATATCACACAAATTTGCTGATAGCCACTGATTCCTCTGTCACAGCTGATCCACTGCCTATAGACATTTAAGAGAGAAGTACATGTATGATACACGTACATTTAACTCCGGTCAGACGCTCTTAAAGGGGCTATGTCGCGCTTCATGCTATCTTCTTAGCTGTGAGCTATAATGGTACTATTATGATGTTGAACATATACTGTATCTTTGTAACATGAAGATGTGTATAATATTACTTATTTATTGTTCATTAGACTGGCATGTTTTTTTTTATTCCTATAATAATGTTCTGAATCCTATTTTTCCTAGTTGTATTGTATTGTATTGCTCATTATAGGATTTTTTTTTTCGAAAAGCACATTGTCTTGCATGACTTTAAATCCACACCTCCACATCTATACCAGGTAAATTATAGCAGCGATGTTCAATACTCTGATTCCAGTAAAAAACCGGAAGTTGCATGGAAGTAAGGCTTAATACCCCTTGCAGCAAATTTGAAATCACTAACATGGTGGATGATCAAGTCAATCTTACTCCAGAGGGAATTTCTGGTGCTAGTTTTAGTGAAGAAGAGATAGGAAAATTGACTGTTGCTCAGCTAAAGTTTGGTTAAAATGCCGCTGTATAAATCAAAATGGTAATAAAAAGGAACTGTTGGAAAGGTACATGTAGGTGTACATCATCCAGCTTTGCGCAATCAATCAGCTGTTTATGCTGTTTATTTTCAACTACAAGCTAAAATAACAGTTTAGACACATGTTTTCATAAAAAAAATTTGCTTTCGTCAGGGTCAAGAACCTGCAAGCAGTACAAACAAAGGGATAAACAAATGGAAGCTGAGTTGTGGGCAAATTTAAAGCTACTTCACTGAGTCAATTTATAAAGAAAGATAGAAAAAAGTGGTCACAAATGCTGTGCAGCAGCCTCTTGTAACAGAAGTGACAATCGATCTGACCTACATGTACATTTGTATCATTTCATGAGTTTCCATCAGACACACAACAAAGATATTTAGAAGTGGGAAATTTGACTGAAAAGAGGAGATGACTTCTTTGCCGCTGTAGGAAACAAGTTCTGTGGTTCAGAACACTTCTTACCGATGGATTATAAACATAGTCTGACTGGTCTACATGTAAGATGAGACCTCAAACTGGGAACTATGCTATCCGTTTTTCCTTGCACTAAAGTGAGTGAAGAATTGCTGTTTAGAGAGAAAAAAACTGAAAATTTCCAGAATGACTCTGTTGTTGTCAGTCTGCCAACTCTTGAAAAGTGGGTAGAGGAAATTCAGATGGAAAATGATAGGCTCCTTCATGATGAATTGCAAGAATGTAAAGCTAGGGAGAAAATTTCTGTTTGGTCTGGAAACATTTTGAAGTAGTAATGAAGATATATAATTTTATACTGGATTTCCTGAAAGTTGATTGTATGTGGTCAGTTAAAACTATACCTACATACAGTTGCTGGAGGCCATCTCTGAGTCTGGGGTAAGCTAACTCATATATGATATATTTATTTATTATTACCATTCATGCGCCAGGGAAACTTCTGTGCAAGTCTTCATTACTTTCCAGGATTGAAAGCACACGATAAAGTCTTTTCACAACATAACAATGTGCCACTGCTGTTGTACTAGATAAAAGTACATGTGATTCTTGTTGACTTGTAGTACACCAGAATCTGATGTTTTGCATATACAGCTGTAGAATTCCACATCTTTTTGGCCCTCACCATGCTTGACAATAATATGCTTAGCTTCAAAAATTCCATGTGGATCCTTCCTGCTTGGATCTGTCTGTTATCAGACCCTCTGGAGAGGCACCCAAAATCCCTTTTTCTTTTTCATTCAAGAAACCACATTGTGTTACTGTGGCCTTTGTGTGTTTCTGCTTGTGCATCATTTCAATGTTATTGTCTCTCACCAGCTGCTCATTTTTGTGAGTCATCTCTCATGGCCTGTGACTGATACAATGTAGTTGTTGTCACTGTAGAGGACTTCTTTGATTATTTTAGAAGGGGAAGTCACAACCTTATGAGTGCATCCAACCCTGTGACTCTCTGAAGCTGTCACTCTACCAAACCTGTGTTTATACACTTCTTGCTGAGCAAACTGTGTTCTTGTTTGAGACTCTACAATTTCATCTTCAGTCTTGAAAAGGCTTCTTTTTATTCTTTCACAACGATTATGTATTTCTTGCAGAGAAATTGNTGCATCATTTCAATGTTATTGTC